CAGCTGGTCCAGTAAGTAGATTGGGATCTGCCACTAGAGTTTTATCAGTGTTTTATCAGTGCCCCAACATAATATATGTGCATATATATGCACATATATTATGTGCATATATATATATATGTATATATATCGAACCCAGAACTCGCTGCTTTCTGCCACATGTACCACATGTATATATACTATATACTGTATGTATATCGTATATATGTATATACTGTATATATATACATATATGTATGTATATCATATATAAATATATGTATATATATATTTATATACCAGCACATATATTTAGTATGTTCAGTTTTTATGGGTAAATGTATACCTAATGCTTTCAGTGGAGGTAGATCACGTCGGCCTGGTTATTTGAATAGTAGCAAAGGTGTTGTCTGGTGGAGAGCATAGAGGAGTTTATGTCTAATGCAGATTTATAGGAGAGAGCCCCAAAAAGGTGCTAACATCGGGTTGGACTAAATAAGGACTGCAGGAAATATTCAGCTCACTGTGAAAGGACACCTTGTCAGAAGAGAAATAATGAGCAAAGAAAGCAGTTAACTTTACCTAAATGGTTTCTCTGTTAGTGAGTGTGGAGCCGATCTGACCAAGTGTTATAAACCATAGTGGTGTCAAGTAAATGTTTCAGGAATACAAGAGGTCCACTGACTACATGAAAATAAAGACAAAAACTCTACAGTAAAGTGTATACGCTTGGATAAAGAAATATTCAATTACGACATCTTCTGTGTATACGATTTACCCGAGAACTTCTACAGCCAAAATTAAAATATTTTATCCTTTCTAGTCTTTCTCATACCAAGATTGGTGTTAGCTCAATACCATACCATAGTAATGTAAGAAATACAAAATCTGGCAACGCCAACACTGCAACTTACTGTTGTTTAAGGTCTATCATTCTGACGTCTGTACTATTGTTATAGTTAGTAAAAAAAAGTTCTTACATAGTTGAGAAGAAGTACAAACTATTCTTATAAGCACAGTCACAGAGAAGTATAGACAGATGGATACTAAATGTGCCTAACATCACGATGCATGATGATCACAGAGCACGGAAACTTGACAAAAGAGCTACATATGGAGACACAAGCGCGATAGAAAAAGCAACGCACTGTGACAGCAATAAAACTAGGACACATGACACTAGTCTCTGCGTATATGTAAGCCGCAGATAATGTGTTGCTTGTAATCCAATCCAACGCCAACGTCTTTACATCCTGCAGGTGTTCCTAACGCCTGTGGCTGCAAGAATGCCGAACATTGTTACCACACCCTGTGCACCTTAACCTTTATTTGGTTGATTGCCCTTTTCTACGCACCACTGGTTATCCGTTAATGTAAAAGGTGGAGATGCTCAGAGTGGCGGGTACTGTCAGGTGCTGTTAGACCAAATGTGTCAGCACGTTTGAAGATGAACTGTGGGTACAAACGAAGAAGCAGGCAATTTATTTTGAGAAGCACATGTTAATATTTAAGTTTTCTTTTTTTTTTTTTTGCATTCTATATATCTAAGCAGTAAACTACACTCCCTCCTCTGTAGAAAATGCTTTCTGCCACCATTTAGATCAGTGGTTCTCAAACTGTGGTACGTGTACCACCAGTAGTACGTGAGCGCTCTTTAGTGGTATGTGGGGAAAATTCATATTTTTACATTTACATTTTCAATTGAATAAATCTGAAACATACCATGCACAATTAATAGAACATTTAAACATAAACATCTTTATAAATATCTCTCCTGTGGTGGAAGCTAACAGTGAAGGCCTCTGCTGCTATATTCTAATGTTGGTCATCATGGTGGTACTCAGAGAGCTCAGTGTTTTCTCAGGTGGTACAGAGTAGAAAAAGGTTGAGAACCACTGATTTAGAAGATGGTAGTACATTATTTGTTTGAATCCGATCCTGTAACTTGGACAAAACTTTGTTTGTCTGTGTATCATGAGCCAGAGCTTCATGTCAAGTCACATTTTTGACTAGCAAAATATAATGTACTTCGCGTTGTACTTCTGAGCTCTATACAACAAAATATGTATATATCACCCCTAAAAAATGTAATTAAAAAACCCCCATTGCATCAACATTAAAACAAAATGATTTTTTTTTAAAAAAAGCATTTTGCAGAGACTAATTATTGACAACACTCACTAGTGAGGCTGAGCAGAACACACACACACTGCCACACTGCAGATGAATAAATATTTGTGTCCAGAAAGTAAATGAATCAGGGAGTCGGGTGAGAAGTAAAATAGACGATGAAGTTATGACTTAAGAAATTATAATTATCTATATTGTGATATAGAGATAAACAGGTGCAGGAGATGAGCACTGTTTGCACTGAGGGAGTTCCGCCACCAGCCGATGTTGGCAGAAACAAAACTAGAGTGAGAGAAAGGTCAGGACAACCTGACTGTCAAGCTCAACCAAATAGTTACGTTTTTAAAAGAGGTCATCTGCCCTCTGAATGTGTGTTGGGAGCTGGTCTATTTGATAGGATCTTGATGTAAAAACATATGTGGCAAAATGGTGTGGTTTCAGGTGAGGTTTTAGAACAGTGGAGGAAACAACAACAACACCAATGATGTAACACTGAAAAAATAATTGCCTTCATAGCCTTGAAAAATACACTGGTACATGGTAAATAATGTCAACCACGGACCTGACCACAAGTATTGATGCAAGTGCCACAAAAGACTTGTTGTCGTTGTGGGAGACAAAGGTTTGACAGTGATTGTAGTTTACATTTGATAGGTCAAATAGTTAACTGATACAAAATGTGTCCTCCCCTTATCATCTGATTGGCTGTTCTTGTTTATACTACAAAAACAGGTGCAGCAGAGAATGCCTTAGTTTTATGATCTATTTACCTTTGATTCCTAGCTCTCCTTATATAATGTTATTGGTCTTAACATTTGAATAACAAGGTTGTATATTTCAGGGTCTGAAGTGCGTTTGGCTTTTCTCTTGACGTATTTATGTTGGAGTCTCTTTTGTGTTTTGTCACCTCAATCTGTCAACATGTGGTAAATATCCAGGCTGGGTGTGCCGGACACATTTTCTGCTGTTGCCACTTTGCCCACACACCTGCTGCCTGTCAGGCAGACATCCAGGTTTTTTTCTTTTGGTATTTATATGTCACATATGCATGTTTTAGTGCAGGGTTTTTTGTAGAAAACAAAAAGGTTTGGCTTTCTATCAAATTCAAATTAAATCAGTTGTAAATATGTGCAGCATTTTCAACTCATTTGATAAAGTACTACAGGAACAACTACATGACAAGTTCATTCGGAATCTGCTGTTTTTCAACGTCGTTGTGGGATAGCATCACTCCCACTCAGCTTCATGGCTTCGTGATAATGGCAAATTGAACACTGAACAAACTGATCATTAAAGAGAGCCTTTTTTTAATGACAGCACTTATTATTATTGTGTATTATCCACAGACAAACTGTAGCCTGTTTTGTGGTAGTGTAGCCCGTATCTATTTGTATTTGTGTTTCTATCCGCTGTGGTTTTCTTGTTTCTGTTTTGTGTTGATGTTTTGTTTGATTGTTTTAGTTATGCATTCATTCATAATTGTTCATATACATTGTGGGGAGCAGAATTTATATTCAAATAATTGGGCCTAAAATAGGCTTCCTGTTTCATGGGCCCACCACCACCTACTGGTACAATCAGACTTGTTAAAAACACATTTTTCTTGCAAACAGACATGATGTCTTTGTGAGTTTAAATATAGGGTGGAGAAGCCAGATCCAGTGTAATGTGATTACAGTAGAAGCATCCAGCACACACTTTAATGCCATGTGTGAACAGTGGTAATTAACACATGCAATGAGACAACTCATGACAGATGTTAATAACAGGTCTGAAGAGTCAAAGGATAAAGGTCTTAAAGTTGTGCTCACAAGTGCAAGGAGATAAAGAGGAGATAAAGAGGCTTTGTTCACAGGGAAATTAAAACACATTTCTTTTTGGGGGCAACCTATTTTGGACCCCATATGGTCATAAAAGTTACATTATATGGTTTCAATATTACATGAATCAACGAACCGACTATTTTGTAGAACTGATGTTTGGTAAAGGAAAAGTGATTTGACTAGTAAATATAAATCATCATATAAAATGAGTTATTTCTTGTAAAAGATAATTTATTTCTCCATCAGGTTTACGTTTACACCTGCCTCAAGTCAAACTTTTAGTCGACATAAATTATGCATGTGTTAAACTCACTTGGAAAGCTTTGTAAGTTGGAATCTATTTATTAGATGACAATTAGTACAGTAAAGGTCAGTTAAATGCTAACATTTAAATAAGTCCGGGAATACCATTAAATTACAATAGGCCGTGTATAGAAACCAGAGTTGACTTTGTTGTAGTCTAGGACTGCAAATTGAGGCCATGGAGAAAGAGTATAACAGTTCATGAATAAATAAGGTTAATCAGTTTAATGTTAGTGTTAATCTGTTAATCCAAAAATAATTTTCTGCTTTGTAAATTTCACTTGTAACAAGTTGTAAATGAGATAGTAAAAGTGACTGGCTGCTGCATGTGGTTAACAAATAACATATATTTTAATCCTGTAACTTAGTCAACACATGTGCATAAGAGTTAAAATATTTGGTTTTGCAGGCAAGTGCCTTACTGGATTTAAAATTGCCCATCTGGAGCAAAGCATATTGGGAATTAATCTTATCAGAACTATCTGTTGATGTAAGCTTGAGCACCAGAACTAGGTAGGAAGGGCTCTACAACTTGTTGACCAAACTGCAATTACACTCTTATTCATCCAAATTAAACCTTTCTCAAAACCAAACACTAAATTAAAATTACATTCTTGCCTAAAATTATTTCACCTAGCAGTTGTAGGATATACACAAACCAACACACACAAGATTATATTTGTGGCTTCAAATAACAATCGCTAATCTATGCTTAATTATCACCAGGTAAGTCACATTATTATTGTTATTATTTCCTCAAAAACACGAGTACTGTAGAGAGGTGTGGAGAAATCCTGACGTAATTCATTAATCAGTAGTAGTATCTTTAAAAGATTAGGCCCTGGCCCCCTTGACGTTTTGGGCCCCTTAGAGTCGCCCATGGTTGCTTTGTATGTTTTCACAGTGGTTTCAGGGTCTGACTACATTCCTTCACCACAGGAAGACTTTTAGCTCTATCTGTTTATGTGAGTTCTTGACTGGCAGCAGAATGTAGCGTTTTTGAGGCTAGGCCCAGTGCTGCAGGTTGTCCAGTAGGGTGCCTGCCTCTGTCTGTGTGTGTGTGTGCGTGCCTGCCGTGCTACAAACACGCTGTTGATGTCAGGAGAAGTGGAGGGGGACGGGAGCACTGGCTGAAAACTGACGGTTGATCTCCTGCAGGGGAACAAACCAGCACAGCAGATGAGTGTCCGGTAACGCAAGGTTTCACCGTTCACAGGCTCCGCTTTGCTTTTTTCGAAGGAGGTGGGGGTTGCTTATTTAATGGGACAACGAAAACGTAAAAAACGTAAGGTAGGCAACCGCTTCTCCTGTCGCCAGCGCTGCTACTTCATTTACATGGACTGAGAGACACACTGAAGGTTGAGAAATGCTCGCCTGTGAGAGCCTTTACTCCTCGTCTTCGAAGGGAACGTCTAGTTTTAGACGTTAACTTGACGGGTGAAATAATTTTGGGTGTCTAGGTGTTATATTTTTATTTCCATAAGGCGTTAGCCGGGCTTTCACCTTCTTTACTCCATGCCTGAGCCGAGTAAACCACATGAGAAGTCGACGTCCGGAGTAGACTGAACCGCAAACAAAGCACCCTCCCTGGCCGTCCAACCGCCCTTTTGCGCCGCTTTTACCTGAAACCGACAAAATCGAAAATAATGCGCGTGGTTCTGTTTTGGACGTGTGTGTGGTGTCTGCTTCGTCCTGGTGTCGCCGGTCAAGGGCAGACGACAGCCGTTTGTTCGCCCTCATGCAGCTGCGATGAAGATGGAGGGGCAGATTGTTCGGGCAGAGGACTGACCAGTGTCCCAACAGGACTCAGTGCTTTCACGTACTATATGTAAGTAATACACAACTGCAGTCAAGTGAAAACTATCAACATGGCTGTGTGCTAACTAACTAACTAACTAACTAACACATGCCTGACCAGTGTATGTGTGGGCTGTTGTTGTTTCAAGTTAATGGACGTTAACTCTTTAAATAATGGTTATAAATAAAGTACGAGGTTCCACTTAAAACCCTGTCAATATCCAGATGTACAAAACACAAAAAACAAATATGTGGTTTTCAGATTTATACTACAAATATAGATATTTACCTAAAAACAGCCTTTAACCATAATCTGCCCATGGTATTGGTTTGTATCCAGTATCAGTGGCAAAGTTTTGCAAAGCTTAACACTCAGGAAACAAACCCATGATATTACTATGCTACACTTATTATCTTTACACTATTTTAAGCCATCCTTTAAAAAAAAAGAATAGTAAAAAAAAGAAAAGAAGCAAAAGTTAGTTCCTACAACCAAATCCAGACCAGGTTTGGGGATTTTTGAAAGCTGAAGATCTTGCTGTACTGGGATACTGCACCAACACGTCAATGTTGCAAGTTTCAACAACTGCAATATTCTGATACTGTCAACAATTCTAATATTTATTGTAAAGTTGTGATGATAGCTGTTAGACCTAAATTGAACTGAAGGTATTTAACTTAATTGTTATATCTTTTTACAACTTCAACCAATGATGAACAGCTTAATGACTTTCATAGCTGATTAATTTGGAGGTTATGTTTTCAGCCAGCGATTTGACGCACAAAATTCACATACTTTTGAAGTATATCAACATGTGGGTGTCCAACCCTAAAAAATGAGGTACCTTTGTTAAATGTGTTTTTGTCCAAAAAACTAAACATTTCATAAGACTGCTCACATTCTTAAAGGTTAAATTGTGTTTTTATTTTAAACCAAAGTTAAATAATTGCTACATATTATTGTCCTAAAGTAAGAAGGTTATATTAAATCTTCTCAATAATTACTCAGTCGTATGTCTGACTAAATTTAATTTTAAGTTTAGTCAATAAATTCTAAAATTACAATTTTGGCACTTGCTTTTCTGTGAGCAGAGGGAAACAAATGACAACACGGTGAAGTACACAGTGATTTCTTTTTCTATCTAGGGTATAAATTTAAAGAGAAACTTGTCATTTTTCTATCAGTGAAAAATGTAAGGCACATTGGTAGTAGGCAGGTTATATCTGGTAGGAATGGGGACAGATACAGTTGATGATTGCCCCATGAAGTTTGTTTCACAGCCACTGAGTTAATCATAAACCCAAAGTTACTACAGAACCAAAGACAACAACCGTCTCTGGCTTCTTGATGTTTCTTTGCCATCTGTTTTTCAGAGTAAGGTTATTCCTAAATAGGAAGAATTCCTCCTGTAATTTATTATAATATCTGCAGTTTTATATACTGCAAATACTGTATATATACATTCCTGTGCTTCATCGAGACTTGGTCTCAAATTGGTAGCGTTTTCTTTCATAATTATCTGCCGTGTTTATCCTTCTTTTTAAGAATGGCTGTCAACCTCACTATACACACAATCTTAGTTTTTGTAGTCACAATTGTGTAGACTGTTCAGGCAGAGTAAACACAGGGAGTGGATTAATATACCAGGCTGTTAAGACATGTCACACTAGGCCTACTGCTGGCAGCTGAAACTGCTAAAATGTACCTTGCACTGTGGGTGGACTGTTAAACTCTGTTATGAGCAGTCTGAGATCTCAAACATTAAACTGTGTTTTTACAGTGTGATATCATACCCTTTGCTGCATTTTATGCCAAAAATGGGGAACAATATGCTGTTTTTAAGATTTTAGCTGCCTTAAAAGTTTGCTCTGCACATGCTTATCTAAATGCCATGTGACAGGTTTTTAATAGTCAAGTGCCAAATTCATTCACCTCAAAACGCTTAGAAAGTATGTGAAAGGTTGTTTGTCCCTCTCTCTGTCCTGCTCTCATTTGTTCTCCTGGTCTCTTGAACTTTAGTTGTCTTCTCCCATTCCCTCAGTCTTTTGTATGTAAAGCACTGGGGTTAGGGATCATGATGGATTAGTGAGACATGTTGCAGCTGCAGAGTCTCCTTCTCTCGAGGCTAATGCAACCTCAATAATATGGTGATTCCATAGTAGAAGGCTTCTATACATTTTTTTTGTCCTAACTATATCTTATAGTTGTGTAATTGTTATAGTATTTCTATACATGAGGAATTAGTAAGACAACAAAGATTTAGATTTAATGCTCAAGAGATGCTACTAATCACAAGGGAATTAAATTTCAGGCTTTCTTATTTTGTCAGTTGACCTGTAAGTTTGCTTAGAATTAAAAACCCAAAAAGACTTTCAGCAATAAATCATATTCCAGTGTTGGAGAGGACTATTACCTAAAGCCCACAGGGGCCTGAATGCTGGCGTCTGTAATGGAAATGGCCCTGTCATAGAAAAGCAGACATGAGAAAAGAGGAGGCCCGTGAGCCTGTTACAAAGCAAACACTCCTTTTGAAGGTATGTAGTTTACCTGCCACCAAGTCCCTGCACAAATTTTATTCTTGGCACAGTGCATGAACTGAGCCAGGCTCTTTCACGGTGTGAACAAGGTTGAGGTTTAAAGAAAATGAAGGGATAGAGCCAGGGGTCTTGCACTCTGCCTTTGGAGCCTGCCTGGCTGGTGCCCCCAATCCATTTTTAAATGAATGATACTTTTGTTCATGGTCAGCAGAGGTGAAAGAAGCCTGACATTAATTCCAGCTCCCAAACAGGATGACTTGGGAAAAGAAGAATATTTAAACTGTGTCCTTAACTAGTTTCTTCAGCAGAGAGGTGTCATATTTTCCAACTGGCAAAACTACTAGAATAATAAAAATTTTAATAGTGCTGGGTCACCCGGGTTATTGCTCTCTGAGTAGTTCATTAGATTTAACTCACACCCTTGGATTAGTTAACACAATGTTTGAATTGTGCGTCAATTGCGTAGGTTTTAATACCAAACTTTGTTCTTTGTATTGCCTTCAGTGCACTTGCTCCATGTGCATCAGTCCATGTGCTTAGAACATTAAAACAGATCCGTGCGTCTGAAAAAGTTGTTGAAAGGATGTGAGAGTTAAGGGATGGTGGAAAAATGTTCAGAAGGTGCTTTAAAACAGCAAATACACAAAACAGGCAATGCTTCTGTCATATGGAGATCACATCAGCCATTTCCATCCATCCATTATCTGTGCTGCTTATCGTTTCGAGTCATAGGGGAGCTCTGACCAATCCCAGCTAACATTGGGCAAGAGTGAGGGTAAATAAATAACCATTTTGACTCACATTCACACCTGTTGTCGATTTATAGCCACAAATTAGCCTAATGTAAAGCTGCATAACATGGAAATGTATCAAACCATCTATGACAGTCAACCCTGGATAAACAAGGATTCGATCATTGATTCAAACTCTTTAGAACCAAGCATTCTGATGGGATGTATTTATCAAAGTAGTAGTTATTTCATGAATACGTTTTAACACTGGAAAAATGACTGTACCTGCAGCTGCAACTGTTTTTTTAAAATGGTAGTCATGCTGTCATGATTTTCCCAAATATGCTATCAGACACCTTGCTAGAAAGTAAGTTTTGTTTGTTTCCAGTTGAGACTAGCTTTGCTAAAGTGTCCAGCCTTGCTTTTCTGAAGTTGTCTTCTGCTCGTTTCCTGTAGCAGTAAAAGCTTTTTAAAATGTATTACTGCTTTATTTTTTCACAGTTTCATCCAGTTTATCTTAGCTGGGACAGACTGGGACTTTGATGAGTAAAGCAGCCAAACGTGGAGAAAAGGAAAAAGGGGGGGAGGAAGTTTGAAGTTTGATAGAGTCACATAGGCCTCCCATACTCCCAGGGCTGCATGTGGTTCAGTACAGTCAACGGTCTGCAGAAGATTTAGTTGAACAGTTAAAATGTCATTTAGGATGTATCCATCTGATTTTAGGTGGTGACTGATCTGCAGGTGTGGGTATAGAGCAGTAACGCCACCTTGTTAGGGTTGAGGGTGAAGACACTGGAGGTAGAAATGTTGTAACTGCCCTGTCTGTATGGTAATTGGATAAGCAGGTAAGTAGAGATGGGACATAGGTTGCAGAGAGGATGAGGATTCTGTCTGGGCCCGCCTTTTAAGGCTGCTGCAGTGTGTGTATGTGTGTGCGCGTGTGCTTGTTTGAATGCATGACTGTGTATTTGGGATTGCAGAGGAAGGGCAATATGATCCTTGTAGGATTCAGAGGCCCACACACAAGGTCCTAGAGAGTTCTGGCAGTGAAATTCAAGATGACCAGTTAAAGAGTGAAAGAGGAGGAGGGGAGGAAGGGTTTGATACATTTGTCAATCCCGGATGTTTGTTTCTGTCTTGAAATGAGCTAGTTCTTTAAGGTAGGACATATGTAAGGAAATCTATTTATTTTACTGTACATTGATGCTTAGTAAACCTAACCCAGCCCTCTGGAACTGGAAGTAATAAACCAGGTGGAATGTCTACGGAGCACAGATGATTTTTGTATGTCAAGTCTGTATTTGGTGTTTTTGTTTGCATTATCATTATGAAGATGAACACATACACTCATTGAAGCTTAGGTGGGTTGTCAAATCAAGTCCTTTGCATAGTTTTCATGCTGCCACATGTTGATCCTTTACTTGAAGTCGGTTTTTAAAAAAAATGATGATCCCTGCGGCTAAAGAGAAGGGCTTATTTAAAATTTTTGTTATTCAGGTTGCACACATGCAGGCACAGCCCTAATCTTATAAGAGATGTGTGATACAGCTGCCATGTGGTTTGTTTACATTTGCTGAATTTTGTCTGTGATTGGACAAAGACGTTGTTCTTCACAGTCAAACATTGTCTCACTCCCAGCGTTGTTACCTTTTTGCTTGAGGCAGGTAAGATAAGAACTACACTGTCATTATTTCTCCCAAATTTAAAACTGTTTTATTACAATTGATGCTTTGGGAAGGAATACAGTTTCTGCTGCATGAACATGTATACACCAGACTGGATCACAATTAAGAGAGATGGGTTGTTGAATTTATTTTCAAGTATTGAGCAGGATGAATGTACACACACTTACACACACTGAATGCACAATAACACAAGGATGACCACATATCAGCATTAATTGAATATTTACTATTGGCAGTGTTAATTAAAAAAAAACTCATACCACTTTTCACCCACATCCACAGTTAACTAAATATGTGGCTTCTAGAAAGAAAAAAAACTGACAGGATCCCAAAGTCACCAAAAACAGTTCTGTTGCTTCTCTGTGGCTCAACTGCAGTGTTGTCACAGTTTTATAGAAACAACACCAAACCTAACCATTATTTTACTAACTGTATTGTCTGTAAAGTGTGTACAGCATAGAGTAATTCTTAGACTGGTTCATACTACATCATTATTTTGTATAACTTACATAATCAAAGATCCCTCTCCTTTTTGTATATTAGTATTGTCATTAAAAAATACTGATATTCCAGAACCTATTCAAAGGTTTCATCGGAACTAAAAACCAAACATTGTGTTCCTGCAGTGATTCCTTTTGTTTGTTTGTTTCCACAGTGACCTAAGCATGAACAACATCACTGAGCTTCCAGCGTATGTGTTCAAAAACTTCCCCTATCTCGAGGAACTGTGAGTACATGCCCCTCTTTTTCTCTTCCTAATGATGTATTTGCTCTGTACAATGTTGACATGAGGGCTGGGCTGGAAGATATGCACCTGGGTAATTGAGTCTGAATTGCAAAACGGCAACGGCATACAAGACTGTCCTCTGATCGTAAGCGCAGTATTAGGTGAGGTAACGAATCACTCACCAACCGTGAATCGAACGAAGACAATTATAAAAGGTGCAGTAAAACCCCAATTAAAAAGATGAGGTGAGCATGCATTAAAGCTACGGTCATGTGACATCCTGTGTGGATTTTTGCTTTTAAGGGATTATCAGGATGGCAACAGCATGTCTCTGGGACTGTGTTGAGTGACATACATCTGATCTTAGTGGGTGTTTGTTATTCCTCCAGTCTTTAAATACTCCGCTGTCTGGCTCAGGGCTGCTGGGAGTCTGAGATAAAATCTGTCTACCTGATATCAGGTAACATGTGGCGCTCAGAAATTCAAACTGACCAGCCAGTGAACTGCAGTCACAGCTCCACTTGATCTTTGGAGGCATCGCCCCCCTGGCCCCCAACTCTCAGGCATCTTTCAGCCAATCCAGTCTTTACCCGTCGCTCTTCCATACAACACTCCAATTGCTTTGTTAAAGGGCAATTTAGTTTTCATCACATCCTATGGAGGAATGCAAGGCAGGAAGGAAGAGGGCAAAACAATGGTTTCCATGGAAACTAAACTGAACAAGCAACCCCCATTCTTGCTGGGACTTCTGCGATGTATTAGGTCATTATACTGCACGGTGTGTTTATTTAAAAGGAATGTATTTTCATTTAAACTACCCTTACTTCATGTGATTGTTATGGGCATTTATTTGAGAACAAGTCTTCAGGCGTGTCTTGAACTTAGGTGGTTAACTCTTAGGCTTAAAGGTTAAAGCAGTGTCAGTGAACCAGAGCTGGGGCCCTAAGGGCAGAGGCAGGGATAGAAAGAGTTGACAGAGTAAAAGAGGTGCCTATCCTCATACTCAAACAGGAGTGAAGACAAGGGATGAATATTCCTTCCGACTAAGTCACGCAATCTCCTCTGCGCTCTCTGTTTCTTGCCAAAGGCACGACAAAGCCCAGCAGATGTGATGACAGCTATTTTCTGCCTCCTCTGCACTTTGTTGATGTTCCTGAAATTACCTGTGTCTAAGAGGCTGGGATTCATTGCAGTCACTAAAAAATGAATTGACGCTACTACTTAAGTAGAACGAAAGTTTCTTTTCTTTTTTTTTTCTTTTTATATCAGAACTCTTTTGTGTGTTATAAACAATAAATACAAGTGTGAATGATATCCTTTATAGGAGTTTCTGTTAAAAATAAAATACCAAAGTGCTTTTTTCTTGTTCACCAACAAACATTTCACACAGCATCAGTTTCATACTTAACATTTCAAATTAAAAAGAAAAGGAAATTTTACTCTTGAAAAACACATTTAAAAAAAAATTAAAAAATAAAAATGGAAAAAGCCAAACAGGAAAAGGAGGAAATGGTAAAGAAATGCACAATTTACACATTATCTCATCTCATAACAAACCTCTGTAGATTTTAGAGGTCAGGTATTTCACAACTCTGGCACAAAGGCATGGATTGAGATGTTCCACCTCATGACATGGTCATTAGCAAAGGAAACATGGGGAATGAAGTCATGTGTTTGCTTTTGCAGCAGCACACTTCTTTGACACATACTGCAGCCATTGTACGCAAGAGGCGGTTAAATATTGACAGTGATTGACCAGCAGGGGATATAATACACAAGTGAAGGATTTATTCTTTAGTGATCATTATCACATTAATTCGTATCAAATCTGAGAACTGTTGAAAGTGCAAGTGTGGTTTATTATGAAATCTGAAGGATGTTTGAAAGACTGTCAAATCATAATACTTAGTATTTTAGTAGCTAAAGGTTCTTGGGTGTCTGATTTATTCAGCTGCATTGGCTGCTTTTATTGGAAGATAGCAGTTATGTTTCTCACATTTTTTGGATGCTATGTGAATAGTTGATTTTCTTTGTGGTTAGTCTCAAACAAGAAAAGTTAGACCAAGGGCTTTGGTCAGCCATCATTCAAACCATTAACAGACTGCACCTTGTGACCAAAACAGACCTGTAATTAAGATCCATTGAGAACCTTTGTTTTGCTTTCTTTGAATAGCACACAAATTAAAGTGTATTTACATCAGAAACAAGGGTATTGAAACTAGATCTGGGTGTGTTAGACAGTGATGCAGTATGGCGTGACAACAATGACACCATCACAAAACATTGATTGTGCTGTTAAATACTGACATTTGCACTGCAAAGATGCTTGCATAGAGGACATAATTTCACCAAACTTCAGGAGCTGTAGGAAAGCTTTGAGACTTGTCAGAGTCTGCTGTACAAATTATTATATTATCTTATTAATGAAGCCTTAAACTTTGAAAATGTATTTCATATGAATGAAAGGCCAGTTTTGAGCTGACATAAAGGTTATGGGTCTTGAGGCAGCATGGGTGTTTGGGCTGACACCCAGCAGCTCCAGTTGCAGGGCCTGCTTAGTGATAAATCCCTCAGGCCAGAGTGTGTACTTGGGCTCTGTGTGTGCCAGTCAGCCCTATATACAGTTCCTGTACACTTCCTGTTCTGAGAAGAAAAGCATCCCTTTCTCCAAAGTAATTTGTGCAGACACAGAAGCAGTTGTTTTAAGATAAATCATTGTCTAATGTAGCAATTTTATGATGATGTAACAACAGTCTCAGTTTATGTATGGGGTACATTTTTATGACGAAGTGCTATGACACTATAAAGTTTGTAAAAAATGATTTTCTTATAATAGAATAAAACTTCTACATGAATTCATTTGTTCCATTTCTATTTGAAAAATTAACTATTTTCAGATCTTGTTTTACTCTCGATACAGAGCAGTTATTTCATATAGCTTACAACAACTATATGCTCAACAAACTAAATGCATTTTTGTTTCAATGACAGTAGGGGCTACAGTAGGTTCACCTCCATGTTTGGACAAATGTAATAAACCCAACGTGTTATTACAGTTCTGGATTTGGTTAAATCTTTCAGTGTTCGTTATTATGACGTAATGCTTTTGAAGGACATTAAGGTTGTTGTTTTCTCAAAAGGGTTGGTCCTGGAAAATTATCACTGGTTCTTATGTTTACACTGCTGATAATGTGTTATATTGATAATAATGATTATCACAGTATTAACATTAAAATGTTATTTTACCATGTCACTTCTAGTTACAGCTACACAATGTTGGCTGCAGTTGTAACAATAAATCATGCACATATGCTCAACTCTCTTATGTGTGCTGGTCAGTGAAAAAGTTGGATCATTTCTGTACATGAATGTTGTGTCTGTTGTGGAAGTTGATTTCAACACTCAATACTGAATCAATATACAGTTAATAGGTCTGAGCAGAGACATTCTGAACCAAAATGACCGCCACCTTTTCCTGTAAGTTATGTACATGCGGGACAGTAAGTGCTTAACTTTGCTGTCATAACTATTTCCAGGAGCAGTAATTAAATGCCTATCGGTTATATTGGGTTTACTGTTACATGGGAAGACAGCTCTAATGAACCAGCAGAGCAACACAGGTTGAAACAAGTTGTAGAGTGTGGTTTATTTCTTCAGTTTAGCCTCACTACTCTTTCTGTTTCCATTTTTTTTCTGTCATGTCTTTTCATATTTTTTGAACGCTAACTGTTGATATAAAAAATAAAGACACAATTGCTTTAATTACCTACATGATTTATAAGAAGTGATGTAAACAACTTGTTTACTTGAGACATTAGTGTTTAATGGAAAATACAGTTTCTATACTGGAAAGCTTGGATTGTAATGTTTGTGAAGCACAGAAAGGAAAGTTGTGAAGCGACATCCAGGAAAAAGTTCTAATCTTACGGGGGTGTGTGAAGTGACAACAGCCCGTGACACAGGCACATGTCTATGACACCCTCAGACCCTGTGTTTAGCTAGAGAGTTGAAACTTGACCTGCTTAGGCACTGGACTGGAAGTCCTTAACAACATACTCTACAGATACAGAAATACTCCATGTGTGTCAGAGTATATGCTATTCTTTATGTAAAACTCGACTATTAAAAACCAGAGTTGAACTTTAAATTGTGTTCTCTTTTTCTCCAATAGACGACTTGCGGGAAATGACCTGTCATTCATCAACCCTGAAGCCCTGTCTGGACTGCACCAGCTCAAAGTCCTGTAAGTGGTAAACCCCACGTCCTCCAACACCATCAGTGTGATACATACACACACACACACACACACTTGCTAAAGACGGTTATATCATAAACATTCCTACACACAAACAGTCAGTTAACCTTTGTAGAAAATTATACAAAAGCCAGTTTTGGTGACAAAAGTTCTATGTATCCTTTACCATCCGTTTATTTATTATATTTCTGAATCAGTAATGTTCTTTTTAATTCTAGGCACATAAATCCCATCACACAACTGTAAGACAGAAACACATTTTATTAACCTGAATAATGTTGGCTTTTTGATAGAAAATGTTGTTATGAGTTGGACATTAACGTTTCCTTTCATTAAATTTGAACCTGCAGGATGCTGCAGAATAATCAGCTGAAAAGTGTTCCCAGTGCAGCTCTGAAGAACCTCCATTCTCTCCAGTCACTGTAAGTTATGTTCAATTCTAACAGAAAAGTTCAGAAAATGTTGTTGCATTATTGTGGCTGTGTTTGATGGTATTAAAGTCACATATCCTACAGTAATATATTGGACTGAGAATAATCTGTTTTGAGATTTGGGTGGAACATGTAAAGAGTCATGAAGCTGGTGGTGCTCCAAAAAATAGAGTTGCTCATGGTTTTGTGTGACATCTTATTTTGACAATCCAAAGGCATAACGTCACTAAGGAATAGTTTTTTGTAAGCCCTGTCATTCTTAATGCCCATTGCAGCTCATGGAGAGTATGCTTTGCTGTATGAGTGTGTTGACCAGGCTGATAAAGGTCTGGAGCAGCTGCAGAAAGAGACACAAACTTTGTGTAAGGATAATACTTTGTGGTATTTGATGTTCTACATATTGCATTTGCATTGTTTGTGGATCAGTGCCTTTAGGGGCTGTTGAAGTAAATAAGTTAATCACGGTAATACATTTGTGAAATTAAACATTTTAACTAATTTAACACATGAGCTTTATCGTTGTTCAAATACATACGCAATATATGTGGTAATTTTCCCTCACAGTGCCAAAAATGCGGCACCTTGAGCCTAGAATTCCATCTCAGTGCACAACACGTGTTTGTGGAGGCCTCGTCTGGCTTGTGTGAGATCAGCATCACTGAGCGCAGGACCGTTAGTAAGTCTGCAGCTGACAAGCTGAGTTAAACAATTACCAAATTGATTACAATCCTGACCAGCTAGTTAGCACACGTTTCTCTGGTTTCAAAGCCGATTGTAAGTTGTGGAGCAGAATATAAGAGGAGGCTGACACTTAAGCTGAAGCTAACATTGTGTTACATTGGAAGTACTTTACAGTACAGTAAGGGTAACTGTGGGGAGCTATTGTGATATAGTTCGGAAGTAATCAGTCACTTAAAACAGCACCCTTCAGCAGAGCGTGCTCAGTTCGTAGAGACGTACAGCAGATGTAGCTTTACCGGAGCGGTTTCATGTGGAACATTAGCAGCAGCAGCGGGCTAAACTTAAAACCTGAAACAGCCAATAGTTTTACAACTGGTGTTTGACCCAGTAACTGTTAATGTCCACACTGAGTGAACTATTAATGGATAAACACAGATTATGCACAAATAGTGCAGAAAGTTTTAGTTAGAAAGTGTGGTGCACAGGAACTTTTTTTATTTAGTACCTCATTCCGGCCACCAGGAGCATTTTTTCTTTGTACCTGATTTATTAGTGTTTGTAAGATAAATCACTATTCTTTTTAAATATGCAGTAAGACAATTAACAGTTGATATTTTCATTTTCAAATCATGTAAACACATAGGGTATTTCTCCATTAGTATAGTCCTTAAACATATGTAAAAGCTACTGTCCAAACCCTGTTGTCCATCAAACAGATCAAAAACTTGTTCAAAACACAGCCTTGGTCTGCATTGAACCATTTAACTGAACTTAAAACATCACAAGATGCAACAGTACAAAAAAAAATCTACTTTGAAATGTACACACCAGAAGATTCTATGCACTAAATAAACAAAAAGCAGTGAAGTACCTGTGTGCATTAGGGTGTGTCCACACTTTGACCTTCTCAGCCATTCAAGCCAAACTCAAAATGATGAGTCAACATTTAGTGTGGATATGTGAACAAATCAAATGCACCCGGACCCTTCTTAAAAAACTCATTCAGCTGAGACCACACAGGGAGCAGGGAAACTGAACTTGTTTCTAGTACATGTGTTCAAAAGTCAACAGTACCGTTGGCCAAAAACTATTAACAGAAACTGAAACGGGCAGGAAAACTTTAGCTCTTTCAGGGTTGCAGTGGACCACAAAAACAGCCAGTCCATTTGAAAACCTTTAATATGATTTGATTTTTTTTCTCTGTATAGTATATCACTCACTCTCTGTATTAAACAGTTTAAATCTCATTATTTACTCTCTGACTATACTGATGTCATTTGTGGGCAGTCCCACTCATATCACATGTTCTACTCTCCTGCACTCCGCTGCAGTGTTTGTTGTGACCTAAGCCCAGCAACAGCCCTGAGCAAATGTAGGTCAGTTGTATTCAGAAGATGAGCAGCAAACATTTCAGTCTTTGTGCTGTTGGTTGTTCATCACTCTTAGTTTTCTTCAACTTGGCATCTCTTCTATATTTCTGCAACATCTAAATATCATTTGTACTGTCATTTGGTTCATAATGTGTACTATTCATACTCAGTTTTGTTTCAACTAGCTTCTTCCACCATTACCACTGTACACCAAAGGAGAATTGTGCTTAGACGAGTCTCCATCACTTTTTATGTTTCTCCTTAAGTCATCTTTTTGCCTAATAGAATTCCTTACTTCTTTTAGAGTTTTATGATCTGTAGCCGTAGTTTTGTCCCTTGGCAGAGTTGGGTCTTGGTTTGTGCAAAGCTTTAAAAGAGCTACATGTCAATCAAGACTGTTTTTCTAACAGCCTAGAGGAATTTGTAGGGAGGGTGAGACGCTCACTGAAAGAGGATAGCAAGAGAAAGACAGTCTTGTGATGAATACTGGACATCACCTAACTATCAAGAGTTGTCTCTAGTAAAAGGAAACAGATTGCAGCTCGCCCACAGTAAAAAAAATAAAAATATATTTGGTTTACATAACAAAACTAATCAGGATACTCCTGCAAGTCTTCCAGACCACACGTACGGTACAGACAGTGCAACAAACACATGGTCTCTCTCTGTCACGTACATGCTATTATCAGATGCAGGAGAGGGCTAAAAATCCTGGCATGTCTGTTTTTTTTTTTTTTACTTAAATTCTCACAGCATGAGATAAGGATTCATGTATTAATTTTGCTCTGGTTCAACTGAGTTTTGTTGTGATATTCTCAGGGGTGTACAGCTCCACAGATTAAGGGGCGTAGCTCCCGCGTCGAAAAGGAGCTTTAATCTCCTAACACACACTGTCCAAGAATAAATCCATACTCATACCATATATAAATCTGCTATTTATTTATTTATTTTTTGTAAGACGTTTGGATGCGAACCACATCACCTCAGTCCCAGATGACAGCTTTGAAGGCCTTCAGCAGCTGCGTCACCTCTGGCTTGATGATAACAACCTGACTGAGGTCCCCATCGGATCTCTGAAACACCAGGCTAACCTCCAGGCTCTGACGTTGGCTCTAAACCGCATCACGTACATACCAGACAACGCCTTTGCAAACCTTACCAGTCTTGTTGTACTGTAAGTATATTGTCGTGCTGTTTTAATAGCAATAAACATCTGCACCAAACATTACACATTTTTATTTTATTTTACAAGCTAAAAAACCCTGCTTTTTGGATGACAGTTAATTGATCTTTTCTGCACCAAACAAATGAAGGGTACATGGAGTCCTAATAGACCTATACAATAAATAACCTAGCAGGAACAACCTGCTGGTGCACTTTGTCTGAAAACATTAATTAACTACGCACAGTGACTGAGAACATTCTCATGTTTACTCAAATGACCTAAGGGAGTAGCAGAAAAAGTTAAACTCACTAGGCGTTAAATAGATCACAACATTTCTCGAGCTGAAAATGGACTCGTGCGATGCTGTTGCGTGACTTCACTGAAAGAGTCCTACTTAAATATAATTACCTAAGATTGTTTTTATAACTATGTTATTGATAATACCTAAAAACAGAACTTGTATTTGTTAAGTTGGATATTGCTATCTATGTTTTGAGTGCCTGAAAGAATGATTCAAACTTTCCACTGTTTACTGTTGAGGTTTCTATATTCAGAGACACACACCGGTTGCTGCTGGAGGTTTGTGTAAACATGTCAAGATAAACAGGAAGGAAAGCCCTATTATCTATTAGTACAATTAAGATGTCCGCATACACACGCATGGACTACAGCCACCTGATCACAGACGTGGGACTCTAGATAAATGCGGGAGATTATTTGTATCTGTCACGGAACCATACTTGAACCAACAGGGCTGAGAACTCTCCTCCTTTTCAGGCATCTGCACAACAACAGGATTAAAGCCATAGGAGGAAACTGCTTTGCCGGACTCTCTAACCTGGAGACACTGTAAGTGCACAGTTCTGAATAGATGTGAATTTGTACCAGTGTTTTTGTGTGCTAACAGCTCCTCCACCCACCTCTGCTCCAGTCTGCCAGACATCATTGTGTCCACTTCCTCCTTTAATTGCTGTAGAATAAATAGAGCAAAGTACATGATGCTTATCAAATCTGCCCTCCCACTGTTCACTTCGTCCTGCCATACACACACACACACACACAAACGCACACACTGTCCCACCTAATGGCAAACAGTTACTCTAGCCAACTGACTTTTACACAGACCACAAATATTCTGCTGCAGTTTTTCAGTGAATTCTTCAAAAGTAATTCATCTAAATGTTATCTAGAGTCACACAGTGAAAGAATCTAGTGTGTCAAATTCCACTGTGGAACTCTGTATTTTGGCGTTTGTTCACTAACTCTGTCCTTAATGCCCAATGCAAAACAAATACATTTCATTACTGTATCACACACTACATCAGTGCAAAGGCATGCCGGTCCCAAAATCTATGTCAGACAGCAGAGGTGATGTGAGTTTCTTCACATCAGTTTGAAATGTCAGCATCGTGCCCGTCTTGTCAGCCAACAGCAGTTGTGGTCCAGACAACCGGTTGTGTTTGTTTTATGATTGCGTGCACTGACACATTAAGTAGTTTTCGAGAGTAGGGAGAGAGAGACAGAGACAGAGACACAGACAGACAGACAGACAGACAGACAGACAGAGAGAGAGGTTCAGCCAATGATATATGAGTCGTCCTTGACAATGAAGAAATATGTTGCCTGGCTTTTAATCTTTTCAGATGACACTTTTCTGCAACCACACTCACACATGTTTGAGGAAACAGCCACAATTATCACAAACACTCTCTGGTCATACAGGACACCACTCCTGGTATAACCCATATGTTCGGAGTGTGATTGACATCCCGCTTTATTAGACTATGTTAAGTGACGTGATGACAGAAAATCATGACTGGCGACATCTAGGTAGTGACACAGGTGGAGTCAACATCCAGACTTTGAAGTCTTACCTACAATTTTGCAAGTGAGTGATTCTCAAAGTGTAGAATTACTGTACTGTCAAAGGGACACCGCTTGAAGTCATAATGACAACCAGAGGATTTAGTGTTGCTTTATACTGAAGGTCTTTTATCATGTTTTATCTGCTGGTTTAATGTAAAAGCATTATGGATTAGAGAGGCCATAATCACACAGGCATCTTCTCCTAAAAGTTAATTAGACTTAGGCAGAAAGACATGCATCCTGTTATTGGAAAAACACAATGCAAATTAAGTAAAATTATATTATCAACTAGTCTCATCGTGTTTAGTCTTCTGTGTTCACAAAAATGTCCTCAGGCTGCAGCTATCACAAACTATTTGGAACTAGTAGATGATTCAAAGCCTTTGTTTCTTCTACTGGCATTTTTACATTAGCGATGCGATAACCTCAGGTTTTATAACTGAAGATGTGGCCGAGCAGAGCATCATAAGGATCTATCAAAACATTTAAATAAAGTAATGTTTAATTGAATTTCCTCAGTTTGTAGGAATCTATACAAATTATTTTCTGTGTAAAAATAAATTCTGTTAAAATCTTGTGCCAGTGTTTATGTTAACATCACGGTCACAGAGAAAAGTGAAGTCATAGATTGTGGTAATAGGAGGATAAAAATGGTAACAACCCTACTGGGCATTAGTGATAAATGTACGTTTGCATGTTCTGTAAACACTGTGACGGTACACATGTGCAAATCATTTTGGAATCCGTCTGTTTGGGGCTGGTTTTGTCATGATGCAAAAATAAAAAGAGCTCTGTTCTTTTTCTGTCTCATCACAGGGACCTCAACTACAACAACTTGGTAGCGTTCCCCAAAGCTATAGAAGCTCTGCCCAAATTGAAGGAACTGTGAGTCAATCACCTGCTGTTGTTCTGTCCTCTGTAGTTGCCTGTAATTCTGACGTCAGGCAACATTAAACGTTTGGCAGTTTTGGCACTACCTGTTGACATGTCCTGGGTGTAAATTTACAGGACTAATGTTAGGGAGTTCTAATACATTAACTGTCATTATTTTATTTTCCTTTTTGATTCGATGGTTTTACCTTTTTCCTTAGAATTTTCAAAATATTTTCAGGGCTATTTTTGGATTTTTTTTTTAAAGTTAAATGCGTGTGATTTGTTTGTCATATTTTATACTGAGCAAAATGTCTCTCTGACCTTTTTCTGCAGTGGCTTCCACAGCAACAACATCGCCTCCATACCTGATGGGGCCTTTTATAACAACTCCCTGCTGAGAACCATGTAAGGTCACCTCCTTCCACCTCCTCTCTCCACTCCCACCCAGTTACAGCAACACAGACATAATTCACTAGTCACTCCAGTTTGTTTTCTTTTTTTAACCCAAGGCCTGAAAAAACAACATTTTATCCGTGAAAGAACATGGGAGCGAAGATTATTATTATCTGAGGTGTTAATATGAGGCATAAAATGAATCAGCGGCAGATGTTATAATCCTTTATTCTTATAATTCTTTTTCCTTCTGCTGTTCCTGACAGACATCTCTATGACAACCCTCTGTCTTTTGTCGGAGCCACGGCATTCCAGAATCTATCTGACCTGCACTCCCTGTAAGTCTCAAATTCAGGCAATGCTTCTTACACATCAAGTTTTATCTGTCTGAGAAGCTGAGCTTCATATTTCCCTTTTTTATATCTTCACATTTTTCTTATTTTTGTTAGGAATTGACTTTAAATTGACCTCACCATCTGTTTCAGGATGTTACGCGGGGCTACTATGATGCAGGAATTCCCCGTCCTTACTTGGACTAATAACCTTGAGAGCTTGTAAGTAAACTTTAGCTTTAACTTTAACAGCATCTGTAGTTCTGTATGTATTTCTGTTTGATTCAATAATGACTTTTAAACATTTTTATTCACAGGACACTTTCAGGGACAAAGATATCATCTGTCCCTTCTAACCTGTGTGAAAATTTGAAATTACTACGAACCCTGTAAGAAAGTTTTCCTTGTTTGTCACCTACAGTTTTGTTAGTATAATTACTTCAAACTATCAACAGAAGATGATTTCAAACCTAGCTGAGCTATTTAAATGCCACATGGAGCCACATGTTTTTTTCTTATAATTTTTTTATCCAGTATAGTTTGGTAAGTATAGTTCATTTTGTCTGTTTTTTTTTCCATCAGGGACTTGTCCTACAATGAGATCAGAGCGATTCCGTCTCTGCAGGGCTGCGTTCGACTGCAGGAGATGTGAGTCTGGTGCATGTATTAAGTAATTTATTTTTCAGATAACAACCTTAGTATTAGTTGAGGTAGGAAAGGCGATCATTAACCCCCCTTTTTAACCTGTTATGTTCTTGTTTTTTTACTATCTTCAGGAGCTTTCAGCACAACCACATCCAAGAAATTGACCGGGACACTTTCCATGGTCTGTCTGCTCTGCGTTTACTGTAAGTCACCTCACTAGTATGTTCTCAGTTACACCCATTGGATCCTGTAAAAACACAGCTTCATGACACTTGCTTGTTGATTAATGGCGTTGTACTTTTGCACAGGGACCTGAGTAGGAATGAAATTCAATTTATCCACCCAGATGCCTTCAGTACTCTGAGTGCACTCACCAACCTGTGAGTATCATATGTGTGTCTGGTTTTATTGAATTTCCATGAGTACAGAAATGTGTTATCCTGTTTGTCCTGCCTTGTCTTTTGATCTTTTGTGAATGAAATCCATTTAAATGTCCATGTTTTGTTTCTATTAATTCAGAGATCTCAGTATGAACTTCCTGGCATTGATACCAACAACAGGATTGAACTCTCTCAGTCAGCTGAAGCTTTCAGGAAACCCACAGATGAAAAATGTGCTTACTGCCAAAAACCTACCCAAACTGAGGTGAGAAGAACCACTGTATTACGGTTTTTTGCTTATTTTGTAATACATTTCATACATACATTACAAGACACTATGAATACAGCAGAAGTAAAAAGATGTGATAAGCATTGAATAATCAGCTACTTTTTTAGGAAATAGGTAATCAATCAATAGATCAATTAATAGAAGTACTAATAAATAAAAGTTAAAACATTTCACCTTTTTAAATTAAAATTTATTGAATTTGAATTGAAGAAAACTTTTTGACTTTTGCAAAACCAAGTAAATATATTTCTGGTCCAGGAACCACCATTCAAATAAAACACATACTGTACATCTATCAAATGTTATTTGTCAATCATGACAATCGATAGTTGGATTGACAGCCACAAGTATATATTGACCTCCTTCTAATTTAGGCGCTTGTGTTCGTTTGCAGGTCCATCTCGGTGCCTTACGCCTACCAATGCTGTGCATTTGTTGGTTGTGACTCACTGATGAGTTCCTCTGAGGATGTTGATGCCAAGAAATCTTCAGGTGAGAATGCAGTAAGAGCCTTGAAGTAGAAAAAAAAAGTTTTATTTATTCTCTGGATGAGCTACTTTCTACAAGAAAGATTTTTTGAGATCCTCTAGGGATGTATCAGGATATGGAGTTCAGATAAGAAAAGCAGCTCAGCCTATAGGCTAGATAGGGTTGACATAGATTGGATGTGTTCTGTGGAGAAATATGAGACTATAGATGTTGGAGATGTGATCATTTTACTCTTCCGCTCTTCTAATCTTCACATCATTTTACTCTTACGATCTTCTAATCTTCACCCCTTTTCACATTTTTATGGTGAAATGCAGCATTTGGTTTCATTTGTTTCCACTTTTTTTGAACAGCAGGGCAGGAGGTGGAACGAGTCTCCATGATCATGCACTGCTCTCCTTCTCCAGGTAACCGTTCTCAACCACTCTTACCTCTGTTATCTGGTATCCTTTATAAAATCACGTTTTAAAGTCACTTTTTTATCCAGGTGCTTTTAAGCCTTGTGAGCACCTCCTTGGGAACTGGATGATTCGTCTGACAGTTTGGTTCATCTGCCTGGTGTCACTGGTCTTCAACAGCCTGGTGCTGGTGGCCACCTTCTCACCTACACACAGACCTGCAGGTCACTGCCACTCTCTGGCCCCTTCCCTACTTCCAGCCAGGCTGCTGATGGGGCTCTTGGCCTTGGCCAATCTCCTTACTGGCGTATATGTCCTCGTGCTGACCATGCTCGACATCGCCACCTGGGGCTCCTTTGCGGAATATGGAGTTATGTGGGAAATGGGCCCTGGTTGTCAGATCACTGGAGCTCTGGCTGTTTTTTCTTCAGAGTGGGCTGTCCTGTTACTGTCACTGGCAGCAGTGGAGCGCAGCATGGCTGTCAGGACAATTCTTGGGAAAGTGCTAATGTCACCTCGGAGGAACGGCGGTAGCCATCGAGAGTTCTGGAGAGGAAATCGACGATTTAGCCTGGCTGCAGGAATCTTGGGGCTGCTGGCTGCTGCCGCAGCGTGTCTGCCGCTCCTGAGCACCAACGGGCAGTCAGCCTCTCCACTGTGTCTTCCCTTTGCTGGTGGAGACAGTCCAGCTCTGAGTGTCACAGTGTTCCTGGTACTGCTTAACGCGCTGGCATATCTGTTTACTGCAGCAGTGTACACCCAGATGTACTGTCACCTGGGCAGGGTTGAACTCGCTGATCCGGAGCAGACAGGTGCCCTGAGACACGTGGCCTGGCTCATATTCACCAACTGCATCTTCTTCTGCCCCGTTGCTGCTTTCTCCTTTGCCCCTCTTTTAACTGGCTCTACAGCAGGTGGCCCCGAGATCGCCAAGTCTGTTACTCTCATTTTCTTCCCACTGCCAGCCTGCCTGAACCCAGTTCTGTACGTGTTCTTCAGTCCGGCCTTCAGGGAGGACTGGCTGAGACTACGCAGCCGCCTCTGTCTGACCGGGGAGGTTAAGGCTGGTGCCGAATGTCACGGAGATGATGGCGGTGGAGGGTCAGAGCTCACAGACGGGGGCTCCTCCACCCATCTGGGCTGTGACTGTGGGATGTACTCTCAGCTCTGCGGCGAGACCGTAGCATGCGAACAGTGTGATACAGAGCTGCATGCCAGGACCTGCTCTTCGCCATCGTCATCCACAATCTGTAGACACTTGGTAAAGTCTCACAGCTGTCCCACCCTCCTTGCAGGAGCGGCCGTGTGCCAGCGTGCTGACAGCTTCTGGGCAGACAGCAGCACGCCCTCTGCTCAGTCTGAGTACGCTGATGAGGGGGACTCCTTTGTGTCGGACAGCTCAGACCAGATTCAGGCCTGTGGCAGAGCCTGCTTCTGTCAGACCAGAGGTCTCCCTCTAGTACACTACTCATACAACATACCTCGAGTTAAGGAATAAAGACGCTTCACATCTCCTCTGTGCATAGATCTCTGTCATGTGAACATAGATGCTACAGGAATATGGAAATATTTTTTGTCAGACATCAAAATTTGCCAACGACCCTGTTAAAAATAATTCAGCACTTATTTAGAAGAGATGCAACATTTAAAGGGTTTTTTTTAGAACCCACCACACAAAGGAAAAGTTCCCATTGTTGTTGCAATTTCTCTTGGACATGAACTTTTAAGCTTCTATTTTTTTTGTAATTTTAAACCTTGATTATTTTTTAATGTAAATGTAGCAAATAATATGAGTTATCACACTAGACTTTTCTGTTTGAATGTAACTTTTAGGCATTACGGTAATGTAATGTGAGCAATAACTTCTAGCCTTTTCTGTCTGTGACTGTACAGTGTGAGGATAGTATTTGGTCTGTTAGACACACACTTTTTGCTTTAAGACTAAGAATGTCATAAAAAGATGCCAATATCACTGTTTTAGCTGCAGTCATGCTCGGTGGTTTGTGGAAAAAAAAAGATGTTATTTATTTGAATGTTTGAGCAGAGATGACAGGGTGAATACAAGGCAGCCTTTAAATGTTGACATAACAAAATATTCAAATATCATTTTCCTTTGTTTTAAGAATAATAACAGTTATTTTTATACTGCAAAAACACAGACATGCTGATTGATTGAGGCTAAAGAGGGTTTTTTTACTATGTTTTATACTAAGCTATGTCAATTAAATGCATTGAGACATAAAAAAGTGCATTGGTTTTAAAAAGGTAAACGTTTGTTATGATCGTCCAAAAGTCCACGTTAAAACGTAAAACGTTACATTTTTAACAAATTCACTGCCTCTTCTGGTAAGGTTAATTTATCAGTAAGTGAACCTGTCATTTAAATGTCTTTGCTTTTCAAAAGAGCATTATTTCTGTTGTTATTAATTTTATTGTTCTTATTGTTGTACCATAAAGCACATGAACGTAGATCCCATCTGCCCTGAGTGTAATACTGTGAACGACGAAGGACTGACTGATGTGTGTTGTGCAGGAGCAGGACTGCGCGCATTAAGGCGGATACACCCTTGGTGCATGTATCCACAAGTGCATGTCAGTTGAGTGCTCAGGAATTTAGGCAATGTGGGGAAAACGTTTCCTCCCTTCTACATGTCGTTCGTTTCATGGCCTGATTATGGAATAATCCTAATCTGGGTTTTAATATTTGTAGATCACATTTGCCGTCTTGACTTGGTGTGAAACCCGTCGCACCAAACTGAAATCTCCATGGATTGCTTCACATGTCATTTGATGAAAATGTACAAATATTTTTTTCTAGTGATTTGGGTGTTGTTGTTTTTTTTTTGTATTCGTATGTAAAAAGAAAGAAACAAGAATGGGATGCTAACTAAGGAAGCTACCTCCTCTCATGTAGTGGCTACCAGCAGTGCTTTGATAAAGAATAATCTATATTTTTTTGTTATTGATGTGCATATTGGCTTCCTGTTGACACATGTTGATCGTCATCATTTATTTACCTAACTTTATGCATAGCTAAGTTACAAAATGTGGGAGAAATCTATGTACTGTAAACTGTGATTTTTTTTTTTTAGATTAAACTATAAACTATTTTCTTATTATTTTACAGATAGAAACTTACAGAATTATACTATGTAAAAAAAAAAAAGACTCACTAAATTTAAATTCAGATTAAAACTAATTTGTAATTTTCCATGTCAGGTCTCCCCACCTTTTATTTTTTTATTGTGTTTTAGTAGCAAAATAATTCTCTTTATATATTGAGCATTAATAAAACTGGTGTTCATGATGGGGCAGCAGTGAACTTTGTCTAATCTGTTAACATGTAACGTCATGATTTTACCATGCGGAAAAATGTTGTGAAAGATTTTCTAAAAATATTATGGGAGCTCTCTGGGAAGCTCTGCTCTTAAACAGATTTGGTTGTTACCAAATGGTGCAAACGCTTTGTTCTGACTCACATCAGAGGTTCCCAAAATAGCTTGTCACATTTGTGTTATCACAGGTTGTCAAAAAATAACAGATAAACAAAGACACTGAAGGTGTGCAACATAAATATAGAACAGAGTTTATAATTAGCTGAGAACTGAACTAAAAAGGAGCTAAATATTTTTTGAGTATAATGTGACCAGCAATAGCTGTGGTTTGCCTCGGTCTTATTTACAAAAAAGTTTAAAATAACAGATATGAACACACGTTCATTCTAGCCATAAGTAAAAGAAAGCTCTTGAAGAGGAAAAAAACTTGAGTCGAGTCCATAGAAAATCGAATTTTGCATGTCTAAGCAACATTTCTTTTTAATACAATGCAATGTCCAAAATCCACTGACTCAGCAGTTAGCAGTAATGCTGCAGTGTTTCTCCTGAATACAGTGAAATAACATTTGTATTAGCTGAAAAGCTCCTAGTTTTATTTACTATTTACATTGTGTACTTAATTATAATGATACTACACACATCAAGCGACCATGTTTACATGTTTTACTATACACTTACTAGAATGGACCAACCTAATATTAACAACTGTATATCAGCATCTGTTTTAGGGATTGTTATTGGTGCCTGGATTTCTACACCGTCATATGCTCTCCTTTGTGCTTGAGAGGAAACAGCCACCACAGTGGATTGTCGACCTCCACTGACGTGCCTTCCATTCTATTTCACCAACCGTTCAGGTCCTCCATGATAACAGTGGATCTTCTGATCTGCTCATCTCTAATCCTGTCCATCCTGGTCACTCCCAGTGAAGATCTCAGCATCTACATTTTTGCCACTTCCTGCTCAGACTTTCCACTTTCTAAAAACCAGTTTCCCAACCTTTTTTGAGCCACAGCACATATATATCGTCAGGAAAAACCCCACGGCGCACCAGCAAACATAAAATTTCAGAAAAAGTATATGTAATGAAATATAGTAATCTTCTAGTTCAAATGACTAAAATCTTGGCCTGTTTAGTTGAAGACAATGGTGATATACTGGCAGGAATTGAAGAAAGACATTTACAAAGATTTTCTTCAACAGCTGTGATTATCTTTTTTCTTTTTGCCATCTGCTGCCACCTAGCAGAGGAGTATTTAATAGTTTTCTTTCATGTTTTGACAAGCAAAGAAAAATGATATGTAATAAATACATTTTAAAGTTTTCAGCCCAATTAAGTGAAATTGGACAATTTTCCACGGCACACCTTATGATCTCTCACGGCACACTAGTGTGCCACGGCAGTGGTTTGGAAACACAGCTCTTAACTATACATCATAGCAGGTCTCACTACTGTCTCATAAACATGACCTTTCAACTTTGTTTTTATTTTTCTGTCACAAAATACACTTGTCCTGCTTCCTTTACTTCACCTCTTTTATTTTGGGGTAGTGATCAAACACATTGAACTGCATGATTTCCTTCTTAATGTATATGGTCACAACTACACACTACTGAAATATATTTATATTTCAATTATTTGTACATTTGAATTGATCTCAATCTACTAATTGGGTACCAATGTTCATGTCCAGTGTCGCTCACACATGTTTTTCTGCCACTCCTGACTTTTTTCATTTCTTATGTCACAGCAAGGAACCAAACTCTGATGAAAGTCAAGGACCCTCCGTATTTCTGTCTGCTTACCTCATCTCCCTGACCGTCCCAACTCTTTATCCAACAATCAACTTTCCTTCTAACTAAGTGTTGACCAAAGGTACTCAAACTCCACCTTCACCACTTTTACTTCTTGCAGCTCCGCCTTGATTCACACAAGTTTATTCTGTCTAGCTTTTGGTGACCTCCATTTATCTTCTCTCCGGTTCAGGCTTCTTCAGGCTCACTTCGACGTGCTGCTACATGCTTTACCATCGGTAAGGAACTATGATGTGTGGAGAGGCCTCTGGATGTTTTAAGCTGTACAGAGAGGCGGGGGCGGTGATGGCAGAGAAGGATGGCAGAGGAAATATTTACATTGGAAGCATCAAAGGCATATCTGTCGACTGATGTTAGAGCAGCCCTCACTTGATGAAACACGAC